GAATACTTTCACACTAAAAGCAGCTAGAGAGTTGAGTGAAGGATTGTTTAAAGGCTCTTTTACCGCTTCTAAGGAAGCAGTAGCTGAATGCAGGGTCCGAGGAGACCGGAAATAGTGAATGCAGAGTCCGGGGAGACCGGATATAGTGAATGCGGGGTCCGGGGAGAGCGGATATAGTGAATGCAGGGTCTAGGGAGAGTAGATATAGTGAATGCGGGTCCGAGGAGACCGGATATAGTGAATGTGGGTCCGGGGAGAGCGGATATAGTGAATGCAGGGTCCGGGGAGAGTGGATATAGTGAATGCGGGGTCCCGGGGAGAGCGGATATAGTGAATGCGGGGTCCGGAGAGAGCGGATATAGTGAATGCGGGGTCCGGAGAGAGCGGATATAGTGAATGCAGGGTCCAAGGAGACCGGATATAGTGAATGCAGGGTCCAGGGAGAGCGGATATAGTGAATGCAGGGTCCGGAGAGCGGATATAGTGAATGCAGGGTCCGGTGAGAGCGGATATAGTGAATGCAGGGTTCAGGGAGACCGGATATAGTGAATGTGGGGTCCGGGGAGAGCGGATATAGTGAATGCAAGGTCCGAGGAGAGCAGATATAGTGAATGCAGGGTCCGGGATACCAGATATTGTGAATGCAGGGTCCTGGGTTTAGTAACACTTTAAAACGAAGCCCTCCTGCAACACGCTGTCACCACTGACAGGGCTTTCACCTTCACCCAGTCTTTCTTCCGGGTTCCTGGGCTCCGGCCATCTGACTGGCCGAGCCACGATGACATCACTCCCCGCGCACGGCATATACAGCTCTGAAGAAACGGCACGGGTATGCCGTTCCCTCAGAGTGCATGCACTGTTGATGTTTCAGGCTGCTGCTCTCTGGAATATCGAGCAGCACAGTGGCTAAATGGTTAGCCCTTCCACCTGGCAGCACTAGGGTCGTTCGTCCAAATCCCAACCATGGCACCACCTGCCTGGAATTTGCATGTTCTCCCTGTGCCTTTGTGGGTTTCCTCTGGGTACTCCGGTTTCCTCCCACACTACAAAGACATGTTGGGAGGTGAATTGGCTCCTGTTTAAATTGGCCCTAGTATGTGTATGTATGAATGTGAGTTAGGGACCTTAGATTGTATTCCCCTTGAGGGTTAGGGACTGATGTGAATGTACAATATATATGTAAAGTGCTGCGTAAACTGATGGCGCTATATAAGTACCTGTAACAAATAAAATAAATATCTCCTAAAGGTGCATATTTAGTAGATATTCACTTTAGCTCCAGGTAAGCTTTATTATAAGTTTGCTTGTCGGTAAAAGTAAAAAAGGCAAGGACAGTCGATGTGGCAATACTTATGGAACGTATTCAATATACATTGCTGGATAAGATGCACATATTCAACAGAAAATGGGATGGTTGGAAAACACATCGACATTTATTGTTGGGTTGATGGACTATCATAGATGGATTGGTATTGAATTTTTGTTGGTTGTGTTGTTGTTCTGCATATCTTACTGACCTTTGTTTTTCTATGATTGTGTTTTATAATACTGTTCATTACTTATGTGCCTTTTTCTTGATGTATACTATACCTCATGAAGTTGTGCTGTTTTTGCAGTCTATCCTTCAATAAATACGTTTGTAAAAAAAAAAAAGGAAAAAAAGGAACTTTACTACCACTTGAAGGTGAAAAGCCTGCCAAAACGTTTTGATTAACCATTTGCCGACCGCAGATAGCCGAATGACGGCTTCAGCGTGGCCGGCCAGTTCTGGGAGGGGGTCATATGACGGCCGGCCAGTTCTGGGAGGGCGTCATATGACGTCCTCCCAGAATGCGCTCTCCTGCGCACCCCCGGCGATCTCCATGTCCTACGGACACAGCTGATCACGTGGTATGGTAAAAGGCCAATCACAGTGGCCTTTCACCACGTGATCAGCCGTGTCCAATGACACAATGATCACTGGGAAATGCAATTGCCGGTTATCGCCTGCACTTTCCTCACACTGTCACAGCGTGAGGAAAGTAATGCCAAGAACCAGCAGTTGTCAGAGGGGGGATCGACACAGATCATCAGGGCACTGATGATCAGTGCCCTGATTATCGTTGCCCAGCAGTACCGCCCACAAGTGCCCAGCAGTGCCACCCACCTGTACCCATCAGTGCCCACCAATGCCACCCACCAGTGCCCCAGTGCAGCCCAGCAGTGCCGCCAGTCAGTGACCATCATCAGGGCCAGCTCATCAGTGCCACCCACCAGTGCCCATCAGTGCCACCCACCAGTGCCCATCAGTGCCACCCACCAGTGCCCATCAGTGCAGCCCAGCAGTGCCGCCAGTCAGTGCCCATCATCAGTGCCAGCTCATCAGTGCCACCTCATCAACATACATCAGTGAAGGAGAAAAATTACCTGTTTGCAAAATTTTAGAATAGAAACAATTAAAAACTTTTTTTTGCTTTTTTGTTTATAGCGCAAAAAATAAAGTTTCCAGCAGTGAGTAAATGCCACCAAAAGAAAGCTCTATTTGTGTGAAAAAAATAATAAAAATGTCATATGGGTGTAGTGTTGCATGACCGCGCAATTGTCATTCAAAGTGCGACAGCGCTGAAAGCTGAAAATTGGCCTGGGCAGAAAGGGGGTAGAAGTACCTGGTATGTGAGGGGTTAAATTCTGAATGTAGAAGGGGAGACGTTGAACATCGGTTAGATTTTTATTGCCATTTTGAAGCATACTCCTAGTTACGAACATATAAATATTTTAATGTCCATAGCCAAGTCATAGTCCTACGTTAATATCTGCACCACCATAAGGCATCTGTATTATTATGAGTAGGAACATGTCTCTTCCGCAGTATGCATCTCCCAGTGCAAAGCAAGTCTTCCCCTCTGGGTAAAAGATTTGCCGCATTTGGGACATGACAGCGGCCTCTCTCCCAAGTGAGCTTTTCCATGTTTGAGAACTGCTGACCTCTGAGAAAAAGCTTTGCCGCATTCTGAACACGAATACGGCTTCTCCCTGGAATGAGTTCTCTGATGCATGACAAGATTCCCTCTTTGGGTAAAACACTCTCTGCACTCCGGGCAAGAAAACGGCTTCTTCCCTGTATGAACTCGTTGATGGTAGTCCAGATTTGACTTCTGCCGAAAGCTTTTTCCGCAGTCGGAACAGGGAAAAGGGCTTCTCCCCAGTGTGAATCCTCCAGTGTACGTTAAGGGATCCCCTCCTAGAAAAACATTCGCCACATTCGGAGCAGGTAAAAGGTTTTTCCCCCGTGTGGGCTCTCTGGTGTATTGTGAGGTTTTCTCTCTTGGTGAAGTGCTTCCCGCACTCAGAACAGGCATACGGCTTCTCCCCAGAGTGAGTCCTCTGATGAGCAATCAGGTTTCCAATGCGGGCAAAACGTTCTCCACACTCGGGACAGGAAAATGGCTTCTCGCCTGTGTGAGATCTGTAATGTTTCGTGAGATCCGATTTGTGCCTGAAGCATTTCCCGCATTCCGAACACGAATAGGGCTTCTCCCCAGTATGGATTCTCTGGTGCACGTTTGAGGGATTCTCTTCTCGAGAAACTTTCTCTGCATTCTGAACAGGAATAGGGCTTCTCCCCTGTGTGGACTTTTTCATGTATGTTCAGAGACGACTTTCGGGAAAAAGACTTACCGCATTCGGAGCATGAATATGGCTTCACCTCTATGTGACTCCTCTGATGTCTGAGAAGTTTCGCTCTCTCTGTAAAACATTTTCCACATATAGAACACTGGAACAGTTCATCTCCTCCAAGGGCTCCATGGTGGCTGGCTTGAGGTGAGACATCAGGAGACATCCCACCATGCGTAGAGGGATTGGATGACAAATCTGTGCAGTGAAGTCCTGAATGGAGGTTTGGGGTCTTGGGGGATCGTCCGGGATAATCTGTAGTAATGTCATCATACTCTGTTTCACCATCTAGAAAGACATGGTGAGTTATTTGTTACAGTTACATAATCTGGCTGAAAAAAGACAAAAGTCCATCCAGTTCAACCATAAAAAAAGTTATAATCCTACACCCACAGTTGATCCAGAAGAAAGCAAAAAAAACCCCAGCAAAGCTTGATCCAATTTGCTACTGCTCGGAAAAAAAATCCTTCCTGATCCCCCGAGAGGCAATCGGATATTCCCTGGATCAACTTTACCCATAAATGTTATATCCAGTTATATTCTGTGTATCCAAGAAAGAATCCAGGACTTTCCTACAGCAATCCACTGAGCTGGCCAGAACCAACTCTTGAGGGAGTCTATTGCACATTTTCACAGCTCTTACTGTGAAGAAACCTTTCCGTGTTTGGAGTGTTTGTGTTATGCTTTGGGGAAACAGGAACTCAAACCAAACCTAAAGTTTCATTCCAGAAGGATTTTTAAAGTGGAACTGAACCCTCCTATCTTTTTTTTTTTAACCAAGGAAGCTGCAATCTTAAGCCTTTGTTTGATCTTCAACTGCCATGATGCTGCACATGTGATCACTTATGACACCAACCAACAGCAGGTGCCGAGAATTTAAACGTTTTTCGAACTAGTAAATGGATGGGTTTAGTTCCGCTCTAAATGAATCCATGCTTTGCCCATACATAACTTCACAGATTCATTTATATAACTTCCTTGCATTCGAGTTGCTGGAGTCATAGTTTACGCAGGACTACTGGGTTAAAATGATTGTAAACCCTGACATATACCCAAAGTGACTGGCCTCAAATGATACACAGAGATGAAACAAATCCTCCTTCATATGTTATACCTGTTCATTTGCAGTCCTTTTTTCCTACAGCAATTCAAAATCGAGAATTTACATAAAATTTTTGAGATCTCCAGAGGTAGAGATCTGATGACACAAACTGCACAGCTCAGAATGAAGAGCTGAGTGTAATCTGAGACCTGAGAGGAAGGAATGGACACACTCCCCTCTATACAGTCTCGAAGAGAAACATGCACAGCTGAGGTTGTCAATCACAGGTTGTATGCTGGAATTCCCCTACCCAGTTCCCCTCGATCCCTTAGAGCAGGGGTCTCCAAACTTTCTAAACAAAGGGCCAGTTTTCTGCCCTGTAGATTTTAGGGGGGCCGGACTGTGGCCATTGGGAGTAGAAAAGATCTTGACATCAGTGGGAATAAACCATGCCCCTTCTTTGGTGTCAGTGGTAGGAATTGTGGCTCATTGTTGGTGTCATTGGGAGGAACTGTGCCCCACCATTGGTGCCATTGGGCCCCATTGTTGGTGGCTTTGTGAGGAACTGTGGCCCATTGTTGGTGTCGTTGGTAGGAAACTGTGCCCCATCATTGGTCTCAGTGGAGGGAATTATGCCCAATTGTTGGTATCCGTGGATGAATATTGCCCCAAGGGCCGGATAAAAGCAAGCAAAGGGCCACATCTGGCCCCCGGGCCACAGTCTGGAGACCACTACCTTAGAGTAAGCACAACCTGTCAGAAATTACGCCTGCAAATGCAAAGGAACCAGGCAGCAGACAGAAATCACACTCAGTGGTTTGGATTGAGGCAAGCACACACTACAGCCATTCTCAACCAGGGTTCCGTAGAACCCTAGGGCTCCTCCAGAGGTGGCTGGAGGTTCCTTGAGCTGGGGCTAACTGAACTGAAAGAGATGAAAACCGGCGCCATCTAAGCGTAGCAGTAATAAAAGACAGCTTTATTTGCAAGTATAATAACTTACAGGAAGACAAATAGAGGTAAGCATGTATATCCCTCTGCTGAGTTCGTCTACGGCCACTTTGAGGAAGGACTGCTCATCTGGGTCACTCTGATGGATTCCAGGGCTACCTACTTGGCGTGTGCACGATGCTGACAGCTGGTGACGTCACTCCCGAGACCTCGAGGCAGGCAGGGGGCACAGCGCACATTCAGAGCATACGTGCTCCTTCTTCAGGCCAAATTAACTGCCATCAGATGGTGCCTGCATAGTTCCAGACCCAGTGCAACTTGGCAGAGTCAGCGGCATGACTGCAAAAGTGGCATTCTGACCGCCAATCAAAGGGGCAAATCTTTTCCCACTGTCCACCACCAATGGAAGGAGAATTTTCCCAATCACCCCCTGATGGACTTCTCTGAACAGGGGTTTCCTGAGACCTGAAAATGAGTTCAACGGTTCCCCTGGAGTAAACAGGTTGAGAAAGGCTGCTATAGAAGGATGTGCTTTGTTCATTATTCATGTCAGAGGTAGGTTTACAACCACTTTAGGAATACTGATTAGCAGGATTTTTGCCTTACTTACCGTATTTTTCGCTTCATAAGACGCACTCTTTCACCCAAAAAAAGGGGGGGGGAAATGTCAGTTCATCTTATGGAGCGAATATAAAGCGGCCGAGACGGTATTTCTGCCACCACCATGTCAGAACACCGGGCCAGCCGCTCAGCTGTTCTCAGATGCAGGACCTTACCTGTTCCTCGGTCCAGCACTGCGCAGTCTTCCCGCGCCGGCTTCTTGCCGCGCTGGCATCTGTGACAGCAGGATGCCCACTGTGCATGCGTGAGAAGCGCTGCGCTTTGTGAATGGTCCGGTGTCTTGTGGGACACATGACAGGTCCCAGAGACGCCGGGCCATTCACAAAGTGCAGTGCTTCTCGCGCATGCGCAATGGGCACCCGGCTGTCACAGCCGGATGCCAACAGTAAAGGGAGAACAACTCCGCGGAAGTGGGTACCTGTCAAATTCAGGTACCCGCTCCCCCTCCCTCCTTAAAGGTCCGCAGTCTCTGGTCATCTCCTGTACTGTCTGCAGTCTCTGGTCATCCCCTGTACTGTGTCCGCAGTCTCTGGTCATCTCCTGTACTGTGTCCGCAGTCTCTGGTCATCCCCTGTACTGTGTCCGCAGTCTCTGGTCATCTCCTGTACTGTGTCCGCAGTCTCTGGTCATCTCCTGTACTGTGTCCGCAGTCTCTGGTCATCCCCTGTACTGTGTCCGCAGTCTCTGGCCATCTCCTGTACTGCGTCCGCAGTCTCTGGCCATCTCCTGTACTGCGTCCGCAGTCTCTGGTCATCTCCTGTACTGTGTCCGCAGTCTCTGGTCATCTCCTGTACTGTGTCCGCAGTCTCTGGTCATCTCCTGTACTGTGTCCGCAGTCTCTGGTCATCTCCTGTACTGTGTCCGCAGTCTCTGGTCATCTCCTGTACTGTGTCCGCAGTCTCTGGTCATCTCCTGTACTGTGTCCGCAGTCTCTGGTCATCTCATGTACTGCGTCCGCAGTCTCTGGTCATCTCCTGTACTGCGTCCGCAGTCTCTGGTCATCTCCTGTACTGCGTCCAGAGTCTCTGGTCATCCCCTGTACTACGTCCGCAGTCTCTGGTCATCTCCTGTACTGTGTCCGCAGTCTCTGGTCATCTCCTGTACTGTTCGCAGTCTCTGGTCATTTCATGTACTATGTCTGCAGTCCATTGGTTCAGAATATTTTGTTTCTTGTTTTTCTCCTCTAAAGCGTAGGTGCGTCTTATGGTCAGGTGCGTCTTATGGAGTAAAAAATACGGTACATAGCAATCCAATGCAGGACATAACCGTTTGCATGATTCAATCTGTATATACTGCAAGATTCCCTTGTCTCCAATAAGTCTGCAAAAAAATGGGACCTATGTGTAGCCCGCCATTTTCCACAGTACTGTACGTCATTATCAGAGAGGCTTGAAATATACCCGCTCATGGGCTTATGCAATGTAAGAGCATTGAAAGCTAGGGATGCACTGAAATTTGGGTGGCAGAAACGTTTCGGCAGAAAACACCCCTTTTGGCCATCAGCCAATATGAATATGAAAAAAGCACAGATACAGGTGCCGAAAAAACCCCGCCCCTTGCCGCCGCCGCCACCACCACCGCTCGGTAGTTCTCAGCCTTACCTGAGAAACCATCAAATGATGCCGCTGCTGGGCATAGAGATGAGTGAAGGAAAGATGGCCTCCAACTCTCTCTATCAATCTCTATGCCCTTGGAGCGATGTCACTTCCCATTCCGGCCATTTTTTTTTTTTAAAGCACTAGATCAATGCTTTTTTTTGATCCAATGCTTTACATTGTAGAAGAGAGATGTGGGGTATTATTGGCCCCATATCTCTCTCTACAAAGAGGACCTGTCACTAATTATTTCTATCTCAGGGGATGCATGCATTTCTTGTGATAAGAATAAAAGTGATTAAAATGTTTTTTTAAAGGGACAGTGCAAAAACAAAAAAAAGAAAAAAACATTAAATAAAAAAAAAAAAGTTTAAAGTGCCCCCGCCCCCCGTGCTCACAGGTAGTGGTGAATGCATATGTAGACCACGCCCACATACGTAAATGATGTTCAAACCACACACATGAGGTATCGCCACGAACGTCAGAGCAAGGGAAATAATTCTCGCACTAGACCTCCTCTGTAACTTTACACTGCTAACCTGTAGACATTTTTTATGCATCCCCCATGGAGATTTTTAAGTACCGCAGCTTCACGCCAATTTTAAAGCATGACATGTTGGGTATCTATTTACTCGCCATCACATCCTCTTTCATATTTTACAAAAAAATTGGGGTATATATTGTTTTTTTAAATCAAAGCTCCAGAGTGGAGGAAGCTGTACTTTGGCGGAGATACCCAGTCGGGGTGTCAGGCAGTCTGTCACATGGAGGAGGGGGGAAAAGAAGTGAACGTACTGGAAATGAACTAGAAGAAACTGTGACTTTCTGGATTTAGTGTTTATTACTCACCTGTGCTGATCTCTGGAGGAAATTCCTCCTCCTTACACAGCTCATCGTCCATCACAGATATCTCTTCATCTTCTACTTTAACAACAATCAACCCTTCATCCTAAAGAAGATACAAAATAAAATCTTTAAAAAAGGGTCTTGCTTAGGATTAAAAAGGAAACTAACATTTTGTTATTTAATTAAGACCCTCGGGTCTATGTACCTGATCCTCTTGAGGGATCTCCTGATCCTCCTGAGGGATCTCCTGATGTTCTTGTGTGGAGTCCCGGGGAATACAGAGGACGGGGACATCTCTCTGGTGGGTTCCCATTACTTGATCCATCTGTAGGAAACACACACACTGACTGCATTGTTTCTATGTCTTTATATCAGAGGATGTGTGTATCTAGGTGGATCCTCAATACAAGAAATTAAAGTCTCCTCTTACCCGGTGATGTGAGGGGCGGCTTGTTCTCCTTGCGTCCGTCTAAATGCTCCCATTCCTACACACATATTAATACAGTCATCATCCAGAGACATCTCTTTTACTGGATAATGTCCCATAATTCCTGGCATCACTCACCTTCCCTGTTAGCAGTTCAATGATCTTGCTACTGGCTTCTAGTATCTTCTTGTCGTTGCTAAATATCAGGGAAAGAGCTTGAACAGTGAAGAGGCTCTTACTCCTGGTGAATTCCTCTAGTACATTTAGTTGGCTTCTGGATGTCATACGAGTACCAGGTCCCTTTACTACTATATAGCCCTGTGTATGAAAAGATATATGGATATTATTGCACTGTGTAGAATATAGCATCCTCCCCTATCTGGTCAGGTCTGTGTTTTATCAATAGAGTGATGTCATGTGACCTCCCAGAATCCTCACCTCTCCGGTCAGGTCTGTGTTTTATCAATAAATAGTGATGTCATGTGACCTCCCCAAATCCTCCTCACCCTTCTGGTCAGGTCTGTGTTTTATTAATAGAGAAAAGAGTGACGTCATGTGACCACCCAGAATCTTCCTCACCCCTCTGGTCAGGTCTGTGTTTAATTAATAGAGATAAAAGTGATGTCATGTGACCTCCCAGAGTCCTCCTCACCTCTCCGGTCAGGTATGTTTTATAAATAGAGATGCGTGAGGCCATGTGACCTCCCAGAATCCTCCTCTTAGCTCTGTGTTTTATTAATAGGGATAAGAGTATGTCATGTGACCTCCCATAATCCTCCTCACCTCTCTGGTCAGGTCTGTGTTTTATTAATAGAGATAAAAGTGATGTCATGTGACCTCCCAGAATCCTCCTCTTCACCTCTCCGGTCAAGTCTGTGTTTTATTAATAGAGATAAGAGTGACGTCATGTGACCTCCCAGAATCCTCCTTACCTCTCCGGTCAGGTCTGTTTTATTAATAGAGATAAGTGAGGCCATGAGACCTCCCAGAATCCTCCTCTCAGCTCTGTGTTTTATTAATAGGGATAAGAGTATGTCATGTGACCTCCAATAATCCTCCTTACCTCTCCGGTCAGGTCTGTGTTTTATTAATAGAGATAAGAGTGACGTCATGTGACCTCCCAGAATCCTCCTTATCTCTCCGGTCAGGTCTGTGTTTTATTAATAGAGATAAGAGTGATGTCATGTGACCTCCCAGAATCCTCCTCACCTCTCCGGTCAACAGGTAGATGATCTCTAGGGCGAGATTTAATATCTTCCCAGTGATTTCACGTTTGACCTTCTCCATTTCAGTCATGTCATTTATTTGATGAGATTTCCCAGAAAAGCTGTTTAACATAAAGCTGTAATGTCCAAAAAACTAGAACATGAATAGACAGAAGAAAACATGCACACAATTAACCACTTCAAAACCAGGCTGATTCTGACACTTCTCACATACATGTACATATTTCTTTATTTTTTTTTTGGCTAGAACACCCAAACATTATATACTTTTTGAAAGCAGAGGCCCTGGAGAATAAAATGGTGGTTGTTGCAAAGTTTATGTCGCATGATACTTGTGCATCCGGTTTTTAAACACAAATTTTCAGGAAAAAAAACATAAAAAACCTAAATTTACTAGTTAATATAAAAGATGATGTTATGCTGAGTAAATAGATACCCAACATGTCATGCTTTCAAGTTGCCTGTGGAACGGAGCAAAACTAAGATACCAAAAAATCTCCATAGGTAAAGCTTCAACCTTTAACAATGTAGAGATACACAGAAGTTCTGGTGCTAAAGTGAAATCCACGTCACTTCTCATTTCTGATCCCACAAATAGGGGGAACCACATTAGTTCCTCTCTCTCTGTGCAGATCACAGGATGCCGCCAGTCAGAGCAGTCCAATGAGACGGGAGAGCCCAGAAAAGGCGGTGGCAGCAATGGGGGTAGGACACCCTCTTCCACCACCTGTTAAAGTGATCCAGTGGCTGTATAGCCACTCAAATCACTTTTGCATCACAGAGCATACAGTGGCATGACCACTTAAACCCAAGGAAGTCATATGACAACCACCCACGTGGAAGTGGTTACGGAATTCTGACTATTCCATGAAGGTCATCTGCTACAGGATTGCTCTGGTTCGGTAACTCAAACGTTTTAAAGCCAGATGTGATGGATCGCCTGGCACCCCGCCAAACAGTGACTCCTGCCCTCCAAACCCTTCCAGCAGATGGATAGCCAAAACCAGCCCTTTACACCAAGCATTGTACAAAGACAAGATGTTGAAGTAAAACCAAAGGAATATCTTTATTGAACAGACATACAGGTTTTTAAACAATTTTAAAATAGGGGTGGTCCCCACATGAACAATAAAAACAAATATTACACATTGGGGTAAACATCCCACAATGGTTAGGTAACAAGGTAAAGTTGACACCAGACTAATCACATCCAAGAGGAACCTCTAGGAGGATTAGCAGAGAGACAGAAACAATAGGTGACTCAATTACCAATGGGAATTCACACCTAGGAGACACACAATGGGGAAAAGACACTTAACAGTAAGCACATAACACTTGAAAAATAGGGGCAGTCCCCACATGAACAATAAAAACAAAATATTACACATTGGGGTAAAACATCCCACAATGGTTAGGTAACAAGGTAAAGTTGACACCAGACTAATCACATCCAAGAGGAACCTCTAGGAGGATTAGCAGAGAGACAGAAACAATAGGTGACTCAATTACCAATGGGAATTTACACCTAGGAGACACACAATGGGGAAAAGGACACTTAACAGTAAGCACATAAACTTGAAAAATAGGGGGCAGTCCCCACATGAACAATAAAAACAAAATATTACACATTGGGGTAAACATCCCACAATGGTTAGGTAACAAGGTAAAGTTGACACCAGACTAATCACATCCAAGAGGAACCTCTAGGAGGATTAGCAGAGAGACAGAAACAATAGGTGACTCAATTACCAATGGGAATTTACACCTAGGAGACACACAATGGGGAAAAGACACTTAACAGTAAGCACATAACACTTGAAAAATAGGGGCAGTCCCCACATGAACAATAAAAACAAAATATTACACATTGGGGTAAACATCCCACAATGGTTGGGTAAGGAGGTAAAGTAGACACCAGACTAATCACATCCAGGAGGAACCTCCATGAGGATTAGCAAACAGACAGAAACAATTGTTTTTCTCAATTAATGGAAATTCACACCTAGGAGGCACACCATGGGGACATTACACAATGGGAGAAAGGCACTCCATACCTGGACAGGATAGGCAAACACAGGTACACATAACAGCGGGAGAGACCCTGACATCGG